CTTTGAATGCAGCGAATAGAAGATACTGTTATGATTGGTCAATACCATAATGTAAAAAATTTCACTTTTGATATTTGTCACAGTGTGAAAGATATCAGTTTTATCAAGTTGATAGATCTGATATTTCACTGGCAAAAATGTAATAAATATGTTATATTTCTTTCTTTTAGAGTCAACCTAAGACTTATTGCTCGCCGACAGATTTCAACTGGAATTGTTACGTTGCTATTCCGGGAACCACCTTGCACTATCAACAAGGAGCCATCAGCTTGTGCCGATGCTGTAAACCAGTCTACGGATGGAACGGTAAAACTATACCTTTCCTACACATTCTCTAAACCTGCAAAAACCAAAATCAATATGTTATTGCTCTATAAAAAACATCTCTGTTATTACCAGCTTAGTTTGTTATTGTCTCCTACATTTTCTTTTTGATAGGAACATTCACAATTTGTCAAAGTAATGGAAAGTCAGATCAACTGACTCCTTGTGGTGACGGATTTCACAACTAGAACAGTCCCTTCTCATCCGCGGATTATGTCGAAGTCTCTGAACACGCTGACTGGGTGTGCCAAAAACAAAACCCCTTATCCGGTACGTAACAAACGTATTGTCGCTTATTGGCATGTAGACAGGTGGTACTTAACGAACACTACTACTTTCTAGTGTATGTAACAGAGCACATGATTAATTAAATTTAAATCACTGCCTCCGCTAGGGATCGAACCCGGGACCTCTGGCTTACTAGTTTTACGCTCAACCAATCGAGATAAAGAGAAGTTCTCTATAGCCGAGCGATATATTGCGGCTAGTATTACCGGGGTTACATACTCCCCTTCCAGGAAAAAACTCGTCCTCGAGTTTTTCCATGGGTAACAGCGATGCTTGTGGAGCAAGGCCGAGTATTTTCCCGGGTCCCTACGTGGGCGCCAATGTAACAGAGCGCATGATTAATTAAATTTAAATCACTGCCTCCGCTAGGGATCGAACCCGGGACCTCTGGCTTACTAGTTTTACGCTCAACCAATCGAGATAAAGAGAAGTTCTCTATAGCCGAGCGATATATTGCGGCTAGTATTTACCAGGGTTACATGTACAAAACCAACTTTAGAGGTATTAACAAAATATTACTTCGTACTCAACATAGACTACAACCTTAGACAGTACGTACAAGATCCTATTGACAATCGATGTCATACATTTTCGATTTGCTTCTAATAATGCCTATCTGTGATGTGCACTATCAAAACCTTTTACTGTACCAACTGAGTTGCCGCCAGGATCCAATGCTTCTTTCCATATATCACGAACTGTAAGAAAATGGATGATAAAGACACGCCCGAATATAAAACAAAAATGTTAATTGCTTAATATATCGTTAACCTGCATACCCGTGACTTGTTTCAAACATGTATACAAAGCGATGGAACACGATTATTTGATCAATCACACTGGCTGCTGAGTTGAAAGTTGAAACCTATTCCTGTTCAAAATTGGTTGTGTACGTACATACACCAGTCTGACTGAATACGGTACAACGGCCAAGTTTCAAAAGTTATTCTCCAAAATAATCGATTTTGAATTTGAAAACATCCCAAAGTACCCAGCAAACGTTTTGTTATCCGACGTACAGATCATACCCTTTGTATCTACTGTAAGTTGTATTATAACAGGTCGACTTCTTCTCTGGTTGACACCTGTTTGATACGAAAAATCACAAGAAGACTAATTTTCAAGGCATTTTGCCGCTTCACATACATATCATGTAAACTTCTTATGATACAATCATAATACATAATTTTTCAATATTTGTATTACAGATTCGGACATTCCACATGTGATTTGGAAGCAACAGGAGTTCATTGTTAGAAAGGGCAAGTCCATCGCACTTTTGGCTGAAGTTCACTCGTCCACAAAGGTGGTCAGGGTTGCTTTACTACACGAAAATGTGAAATTTCCCCTGTCAGATCCGAAAATGTCAAGTGACGTCTTTCCGCACTACGATCACAGCTACACCGTGCACTTCGCGCTCAGAAACGTCACGACATCAGATGGTGGCCGGTACTTCAGTGTGGCCACCAACAAACAGACTAGTGGATGGAGTGGTATAACTCGCCTGGCAGTTCTGAATGGTATGTAGGTCAGTTTTTATCCTGAGGGATCAAACAATAAAATCTAAGAAATGATCGAAGTGATGCAAATATATGTGTTCACTTGCTTAGATAATCTATCACAAATCCAAATCGCTTGCGTATATTGATTCAGATGTATTAAATTATGTACGTCTTGAACATATTGTTTTTATTGTCACGAAACATCATTGTACGAGTACCAAATAGGTACAAAAAAATATAGCAATACAAAATGTGGTCAGAATGATAAAATTCGTATAAGCCGAAAGTGTCAGTGCTGTGACATTTAACATTCCCTAATGAACAATGCCAGTATGAAACAGATATAAAAGTTCTTAAAGAAATTTACATGCCATATAATTCATATGAAATCATGGAAATGGAATGCCTTTGAAGTTCTTTTTATTATATGTGACATGAAATGATTCAAAGCTGAAAGAAAGAAAAATGCTGAAATGTTCAGGTTTGCAAAAGTCTATGACAACAGTGCATTGTTCGCTTTGACGTCAATATGAGAAATGTCTGTGATGATGTAATACCGACCAGCTTCCATATGTAAGATATAATAGGGAGTTCTGTCAATACACAACATTATCCTCATGTTGGCAATAACGTACGAGTCAGGGAAACACGGTTTATATTAATAGTGTAAGTAGGGGACAACATAATCTTTGTAGCTACATAATTCATTTCTTAATACAATTTAAGGAACTGAAGGAACCACCACAGGCTCCCCCCGTCTCAGGTATGTATCTTAGATATGGGATTGAAGTTAATTGTTGTAGCTTTACATGAAATACAAGTCCATGTGTGATAGTATAAACTAAAATCTATTCAGTTTACACGTTCTCAACTGGAAATAGCACTTCAAACACCCGGCGAAAATAGAAAAAGATGTAGTTCCTGAAATACCGTCAATGTAAGTTGTCAATGTGTATGCATAAATAAGGCAATCGGCATTATGTATACAAATATAAGGTCATCGATAACTGACAAAATAATAATATACACTAGGTATATATATAATTATTCGGCCCCTTGCAGTTATCGGATTCAAATCATGAAGATCAATTAAAACTATTTTAGAAAAAAGGTATTGGGATCATTATCCTGAATATACAGCACTTATTCAGGATCATAGATTTAAAATTACCAAAATACCAAAATTAATAACAATAAAAATATATTCATTTAATCTCACCTGTCCTTGTTAATTGTATGTGTTGTTTATTCCATGTAAAATGTATTACGTTTTATTATAGGTACGGCATGACCCTCATCATCTGCATGGCCTGTGTGATATTACTTCATTGAAGGAGCTGTATGGCCTGTGTGATATTACTTCATTGAAGGAGTTGCATGGCCTGTGTGATATTACTTCATTGAAAGAGCTGCATGGTCTGTGTGATATTACTTCATTGAAGGAGCTGCATGTCCTGTGTGATATTACTTCATTGAAGGAGCTGTATGGCCTGTGTGATATTACTTCATTGAAGTGAAGGTGCTGTATGGCCTGTGTGGTATTACTTCATTGAAGGGGCTGCATGGCCCTCGACGTCTGCCTGGCATGTGTGGTATAACCTCATTCTTTTTCCACTGCCGGTCGTTTAATGATTAAATTAGAGTGCTTGGACAAGAAGATCTGTTACCATGATCAAAGAAGTTCAAAAACGTTCATCAATGATTGTGTTCCTCTAAAACATGCCGACAAATGAACAAATAGCAAACTTATATTACACGCTTTACGTGTGGTCTGCTACGTGTGGTGTTGTTCTACTGAACATGATTGCTATGTTCTAACCGTGTACTACGTACAGTTTAACGTTGGCCATGAAGGGCCAACCGACTTTACGACTTACGCCTTTAAAGTTCTGACCTATTTACTACTTTTGGCGATTTGTGCATTGCGAGGTAAAAACGTTTTATCCCAAAAATCTCGAAAGATAGACCCAGCAGCTTCAAATTGTATTCCAATGGATCATGTGAATACAGAGGTCATGTTAAGAAAGGAAACAAACATCAGACATTTGGCACTTATCAATTTATAGTAGTCATTTGGCACTAGTCAATCAACAGTAGTCATTTGGCACTAGTCAATCAACAGTAGTCACTTGGCACTAGTCAATCAACAGTAGTCATATGGCACTAGCCAATAGACAATAGTCATTAGACTCAAGTGGGCATAAGCCATAACTTGTTCAAAACTGTAAGTTTATGATAAATTAAAACGAAATAATTACATGAATAAAAAGAAAAAAAAGTCGTAAATCAAAAGTCAAGTTAAGGCAGGATATCAAATGTTTAAATCGATCAATTGGACCAAAACTGATGTCACTTTGCACTCATGACGGTTTTTTTCATCTATTTTTATTCAGGCCAGGTTTCGGAAATCAAGTCCGTATTAATCCTTGCCACTAACTTTACCTTCTTTTATACATATAACATAACGCATAGAATTAATAATTTTAGGTTATATAAAAACCTCCCAGAAATGTTCACATCTGGTTTTGTCTATATTATATTATAGCGCTGTGATAGGTATGACGATATTCGTGTTCTGTGATATGTATTGATGAGGTGACGACAATGATTGGTTTTAGTTCCAAATCTTGCTGTAAATCGACTTTAAGTTTAATAATTTTAGGTAATATAAAAACCTCTCAAAAATGTTCTTCTCACAGATAAACCTGTCTGGTTTTGTCACTATTATATTATAGCGCTGTGATGAGTATGAAGATATTCGTGTTTCTTGATATGGATTATGATCATCCTTCGATGTAGTTACGACAATGATTGGTTTTAGTTTCAATCTTGCTGTAAATCGACTTTGGTCACCACGAGGTCCTACACATAGTAAAGCGATCGTTTTTAATGGTGTACAGTGTATTGAGGTTGATAGTCCCAATGGTCTGTGTTGTAATGGTGTACAGTGTATTGAGGTTGATAGTCCCAATGGTCTCTGTTGTATCTCCAACAAGGAAGTATTCTTTGTCACCTTTTTTTCTGGCACGGAGTTACTTGTCCATTTACTATAGCATAGAGTTTATACATACAACTTATTACCTACCGATTGTTATTTTATAAAGACCTCCGCTACAGGTATTCGAAATCCTGACAGCTTGACTCTACAACACATAGCTTATCCACTGCGCTAGTATAGTATTGGTTACGTTGATACTTTTCTATAACATTACGAGAAATAATCTTTAATTATTTCGATCCTTCCAAAAAGACCCAAATATAGTTTTTGTGTTAATACAGACAAACATGGGAACAGGAAATTAACATTTCAATGTCTGTTTACAGAAGAATAGTGATGGACTCTCAACCCTTGAGGTAGTAGTTGCCTAAATATTATATTTCCTGCAACAAACAATATGGTGTCCTCACACAGGAGGCTCTCATTCGTTTTTCTCTCGTCAGTAACTGATACAATATCCTAATTCCAATAGTATTTAAATAATTATTATATTTTCACTAAAAGTGTTCCGTGTTTCAATCATCCCTGTATAGGTTTTCTATGTGTTTTTCATTCTTCAATTGTACTTGTCTTTTATTACTCTATATGTGCAATACATAAGGCATTAAAATACCTAACCTGACATCTACGTCACTGGTTACATGTTTAATGGAGGAGTAATGAACAATCAGTAGGTCCTTATTTGGTTAATTGCACGGCTAATGGCATGTTGAACACTTTACTATCTCCAGATTTGTAGGGTGGTACGTATTGCTCAATTACAGCGATAAGTGAAAAAGTAATAACAAACATGTACACAATGGTTCCAAAATAAACTTCTCAGTCCTGACTTAAATAGTTTTACTTAACATCACTCCTGATCTTGTTCTCAGTCCTAACTTACATGGTTTTACTTAACATCACTCCTGATCTTGTTCTCAGTATCTAGATGGACGTGTTGGTATACTTGATTTCAGTACCTTTACTAAAAAGATGTATTGAAATGCTTTATCAAAATTATATGTATGACAATTATTATATCATATTTATTATATATAATTAAAATATAGCTTCTTTATTTCACATCACTGTAAAAATAGCCTAGAGATATTTTATTATGTTTTCTTCGTTCCCATATCAACCTACAGTATTTATTCAGGTTCGTTTGTTTTGTGTAGTACTATTTATCATATTTTACAAAGGTCGTGTTCCATATATTTAGTATGACTATACCTTTTTCGTGTTTAATAAATGTTTAACATATATTTTGACTTTGTTAATTAATTTTGTACCTGAAACCGAAATAAAGCACATGTGTATATTGAAATTAAAATTATGAAATGTACTTTCCCTGCTAACCTTTTTCATGGTACTCTGCTCGCAGAATGAGAAAATTGAAACCAAAGGAGTATCTCAAAAATGTTTACACATAGACTCTGTAGAATCTGAGGGGTCAGGAAAAGATTCCACAGAGCCTCTGTGTAATCATTTTCGAGATACTCCTTTGGTTGCAATTTTTTGGTTGCTTAATTTATTCATAAATATGACAAAACATTGAATTTTACATTACATGAACTTGAAAAGACAATGAATACAAGTGTCATGACACTTACGTAATTCGTCACTACACCATCACTACAGAAATGAATCAATATAAATAAAAGAACAAATATCTGGGTGTGGGACGGGTTAAGGGAGGGGGAGGGGGGAGGTGCAGTGGAAATATAGAAAAAGATAAGACAGCAATATACATGTGATCACCTGGGCCCGTATTCATGAAACTGTTCTCATGCTCAAGCATGGATTCTGTGCTCAATCCATCTTCTTGTAACTCCCTTTAATCATGCCAAACGATCAAAAAGTCACATGTTAACATTGAAAACAGTATTTTCAAATCATTGACAAAATAAGATTTTTTTATACTCTTACATGTAAAAAGAAAACAAGAAATTGGCATTGAGTACAAAATCCATGTTTGAGCACGAAAACGGTTTCATAAAACGGGCCCATATGTTGATATCGTGCTATGATCAGGTTTTGATTTCGGAGCAATGCTGTAATCGACACACGACGACTGTTAAGAATACATACATATGTTACAAAGGACCGATGTGACCAACCATTGGCGAATTAATGTTTGTCACAATGACTCGACCGGATAATTAAAACGTTGTCACACAATCACGGATAGTTTACTACACAAGCATGGTGATTGATTCTCCGACTGCTGAACGTGGTGTCTTGAATTTTGCCATGGTGATGTCACACACTGTTTTTTTTAAACATCAGCACCTTTACAAAGTAAATACCATTGAGACCTGTCACAGATCTTCACCCCGTGGTACGAACATTGTAGATAGTTTGTGTCATAATACCTATTTATAAACCGCAAGGTGGGTAAGTGTACCATACCCCTGTGACATCAGCCGAATACAACTCACGCCACATGGACAGAGCCAATACAGAAGGGATGGGCGGAATAAATATTCGACATTGACCCCTTGGTTTATTCCCAGTAGAGGAATTTCCAAACATTATGACTGATTACAGATACAGATTGCATAGAAAAGTTTTTAGCAAATAAATCAGTAACCATTAACAAATTACAAATAAATAAACGGTTTTAAACCATTATACAGCTATAATCTTAACAGAACAGCCTGTTTTAGGTCTCACACAACTAAATCAGCCAATCAGTAAGTGTTTCATACGATTGTAATCCCTACCTAAAAATTGTTCCGGTTTAATACAGTGCTTCCGAGTAATTCAAATAGGTAATTCTTGACATATTTTACATTGAATGAAATCTATAAATATTCGACTTTAGGAAAAAATGTATAGTTTTAGTAACTTTTAAAATGTGATGGCGGATTGATATGGGGTCAAATGTCCGGGGAGGGGGGGTTCACGTCCCACTTCACCTGTTTGGCTTGTAAACTTCCGGTTGTCAAATAGCAGACGGCTGTAGCGCTCTTATATGCCATTAAACTCATCAAAACATGCCTTTTGAAGCCTGTGTCAGTTATGTATTTATCAATCTAGACAGTTGTCACTAGTGTTGAACTTCAAATATTAACGCTATTAGATCAAAAGCTTAGTAATAACATAGAGTAAATGATTTAGTTGTGGGAGTCCTTTACGGGAAATAGCCATGTGCTCAATGAACCTGAACTTTCACACATTTTCTGTGTTTCCAGACGCTTTTTTATGACAGCCACTGTTATTGGGTCTAAGCACATTTTGTTCAGTATGTAAATATATATATAACTTGATAACAGTTCAAAATTAGGTTTAATCTGGGCTAAATATGGCTCTGTGCTTAAGCCTGTATAGTTGGACTGACCCTAATACTCAGTTTTTTTTAATGAGGATTGTGTTCAATTTACTGAAATAATTGATCTGCATGTTTTTCAATAGTACTATAATGATCTGTGTACCAGCTTTTAGCACCTGAATCTTCACAGAACAGAAATATAGTGTGCTGTCCTGCACAATTATCACCCCTCCCTTCCAACCACCTCTGCTCAGTCATTCTTAGGCCACTTCCCTCATTCAAATTATATTTATTTCTGTGCTTAAAAGACAGCAATGACTAAATTCAAGTTTGAAAAACTCAATATCTCTAAAAAGATTTCAATTGAAAGTTAAAAAACCTGTTTCAGCATACCCCCATGTGAAAAGGTACACCACAGATTTTAGCACAAGTTACATAGCACATTATAAACACATTTTAAAGCACATTTTTGCATTAATCACCATTTTTTTGTTCGATATAATAAATGTGCTCATTCCAAGAGTATGAGAGTTGTTAGCTGACTTTTGCATGAAGTTGTGCTGTAATATTTTCATATTCAGCCTCCCCAGATTTGAAAATAATTTTGTTGAGTATTATGATTTTTTTAATTTTTTAATTTTTATCATAGATTGGTTGTCTCTTCATTACTGTTATACCCTGTACAACAAGACTATGAACAGCAAGTAGCCCCTCAGCACCAAAGAACAAGCTAAAAAAGATGCACCTGTGAGTTTCTTTTAAGTGTATGTGTCACATATAGTTTTTTTTGGCTAAATAAGATATGTATCTGTGAATCTGGACAGTTGTCACTAGTGTTGAACTTCAAATATTAACGCCGTCGTCTAATAAACAAAGTGTGAAACAATGTACACTGCCATCTACTAGCCCGCGTAAGGTATAATTGTAACCGAAGTTAACAACTGCTACTCATTATATAAAAGTATGCGATATACCCTACTCGTCGTATGTAGATGCGTACATTTGGATTGCGTTTTGTCTAGCAGGTCTTAGTCTTGATATACACGTGTTAAAATTACGTTTTTCAGGAGCCAATGAAACACATTGATTCTATCACGACATTCAATAATATTTACAAGATATAGAATATGAAAGACTTCATTTCCAAATAATAACGAAACACTGAATAAGTAAGATATACAATAACAATATAAGATAGATTAGGAACGACACATTATAATGTAAGAATAACATAATTAAAAAAGAATATATCAACAATCACTCTACAATATATAGCGGAATACACAGTAGCAATTACAAGTTTTACAATGAAAACAACAAATTGTAACTATATAATTCATGTTGATGTTGGCAGCGTTTCACATTCCTAAGTATGCCGACATATGATTTAAATGGAGTTTGCTAGGCGTCATTATTACACATGATTCCCGTATCGGCAACTAACATGTAAATGAATCCCATATTTAACAAATAAAGTGTATATTGCTAATACGTGTATGTGCAGTGGGCGTGAGGAACCTATATCTCACGTCAGTTACCCCCGGGAATCTCTGTAATCTCTGTACTGTATATTACATACGTGTGTACGTGGAAATGAGGAGTGCATGAAACATGTGCTTTTCGCTTGACAAACATGTTAAACGTTACTTCAAAGACTATACAGATTACGGTATTAAAAAGATATATTTAGAAAGAGACCCGGATTGATAACCGTACTGTTAAACACTGATACAGCACAGGTGTCACATAGTACACACGTATACGTACACTGTATGTAACATATGGGCACAAAACACATTGTCATCGGAGTAATTTTTTTTTCAATGAACCGTCAAAATACCAGTTAAACTTCATATCTGATATTTAGTCAAATTTACAGAGCAGTCGGAATATTCGGCGCACCTCAAGCATTTTTTAGTTGCAATTAATCAATCCAATGAATCGTAGAGCGTTTTTCAATTTTGAATTAACACATTTACAGTGGTCTTTTGGCTGCTTCCAGTTGACCAAATTTCAAAGCTGTGTTTGCCGATTAAATGGTTAAAATTGTCACTCAAATAAAGCCACGTATGTGTTCTTCAAAACTCATTTTTGAAGTAGAATTCGGCACATATATCTATAGTATTACAGCATTTACGTTGCACATATAAAAGCTTACCATGATATGCCGAAAATGTAAAAAAAAAAAAAAAAAAAATCATTTTAATGAAAGAATTTTTCACTAAAAAGTATGTTGAACATTACGAACATTGGTAAATAATTTGCCATTAGCAGGCATTTAGCAGGATATGAAATTAGTTTGATCACACCAGGCATCCCTTTTCCTAAACCATTCTTCTATATAAAGAACACATTTACTATCGATCATATTAAGCAGGATCGACGTCCTCATTTCTGAGCTATACACATGTGCGATTCGCTGCTATATATAAACACACGCGATCACTATAAATATTTCAAGGTAATAACCGCTCTCTCTATATATAGACCGTAATTTTGCGCAAGGTCTAAATCAGACTAGACGCCAATGAAGGTGCATTAAAATACAAGGTAATTAAGGAGAGAATGTTATTATCAGCTCGCTTGACCGAAGGGCAAGTGGGCTTATGCCATGGTGCAGCGTCCGTCGTCCGTCCGTCGTCAACTTTTTACTTTAAACATCTTCTCAGTAACCAAAGGGCCTAGGATGTTGAAAGGACTACCATGTTTGTTCAAATTAATGGCCTTCATCTATTTTCAAGGTCACAAGGGTCAAATATGTTAAAATAATTTAACAACTTCTTATGCATAACCAAGAGGCCTAGGGTAGCGGTATTTAGCCAGTAAAACATGCTGGGACAAAGGGCTACTAAATATGTTCAAATAAATGACCTTGACTTATATTCAAGGTCACAGGGGTCAAATATTTAAAAAAAAACACACTTTAAACAACTTTTTTGAATAACCAAGAGGCCTAGGGTGATGATATTTGGCCAGTAACATGCTGGGATGAAGGGCTACCAAGTTTGTTCAAATGAATGAACTTGGATTTTATTCAAGGTCACATGGGTCAAATATGTTTATAACCTTTAAACAACTTCTTCTGAACAACCAATAATCAATAATCAGGAAAAAATATTGAATATGTACATGTCCGTATATCAAATTTTACAAACCGTCGAAGTTTCTACTTTGAATAATATGAATATAAAACATGCGATTTTCCAAACTTTAATGCGTTTTGAAACACAACATATTTAAGTACCAACTTCTGGGCTGTTGTTCTTAAACATTCATCTTCATATTTTTTTTTATAATTTGATATTGGAGATGCTTGTGATTAGGGGAACGAAAGTCGTATTTAAAATACCAATCTACAAATCGCTGCGTTGCTGTCTAATATCCAAAGGTAAACATACCACGTGTATGTAAGCTGCGGAACTTGTAACACGGTACTCATAACAAAAGTAAGTAAATTTATACAAAGAGTAATGAAGCTACTTAATATCTAAAATAATTTAGCTAAAAGAATTATTCAAATGGGTTGTTATTTTATGAATTGTATCATGTGTCATATTATGTGAGTACTATGTCCATCAATGTATACTATGTATTATGTGATCTCTTCTTACGCACGTATACGTGTGGCGTGAGTGTAAAAATAAAACTTGAAAACTTGTATGTTATGATAGATTGAATATTATCAGCCTGATTCATCTTGGTTTTAGACTCATTTTGTTTAACAAATGTATCTATAGTATATATTACTTTCAATTATGTCTGAACAAGTTAGATGCTCCTGTATTTAAATAAGCCATTTGAAGGAAAAAACCCAAAAAAACAACAACCGTTACATAGTTTTTTTTACATAAGATGACGGACACGTGATTTCACCCACCTTTTATCAGAGACGTATACATTACATATACGTCTCTGCTTTTATCAATAGACATTGAATCAATGTCGTCCATGAATACCTAATTGACATTATTTATCTAACATATCGTCGTAAGTTGTAAGGAAATCAAGAACTTTAACAAACATACACTGTTTTTGACACGGAGACCGAGTCACCGAATGCACGTACGTACATGTACGTAGCTATTAGTGAGCGAACTGATCACGCCGATATACATATGCTTGTTATGGGTCACAACACATCTAAGCGTACACAAGTGTGCTGTGACCCATATCAGCATACAGTCTGTAGCATATATGTGTATTTTAGACATTTGTAACGAACCCCTGTGGCCTAACTTTATACCTTTACCTAAGCTAGGAAACTCTCACTTGTCACACATCTACACACTGGCATTGATCATTAATTAGCAATATATAACAACCTGAAGTCCTATACCATACCAATGGTTAGGAAATATCGATAAATACACAAATATACCCTGCCTCAGGCACATATATATACACATGTGCACACACATACAAAACACAGATGGAAACCGAAACTATTTTTAGCTATGACTATATCAAGGAAATAACCTTTCTAAAAATAAACATGTATCGTGTCAACATATATATATGAAACACCGTCGATCTAGCACCAATCTCCTGCAAGTAAACCAGCTTGAGCGGCAGACTAAAAGACGAGGTAAGAGCATTCACATCATTGGATATGGAACGCCATATCTATCTTATATAAAATATGTTCGTTACATTCAAAATATGATGTACATTTACCTTTATTATAATAGGTGCAATTGTTTTTGCGGAACTGTAGTAACGATTGGCAGTCTGAAACTCTGTAGCCTGAGTTTCCTCTGGCCCTGACACCAGACTTTGACATTTTGTCATATTTATGACGTATAACAGATACATATAACACAACCAGCGAAGTTTTTATTTGTAATGGCTAATTAAGCTGCGTGAGATATAGCAAAGATTAACTAACTATTAATATAAAGAAAACTAATAAATAGCATAATAACTAGCAAAATTAAGAAAACTATGACAAAAATACAAGATAAGAATCTTAAATTAAAACTTACCGTATATAATTCATTTATACATATCAAATTGATCGATCAGAAGAAAACATGACCGTCAGCATTGATAAGTGTTAGAGTATGTTAAGTATCTGCCGTACCCTTAAAGGGTATTTTATTTTACAGTCCCACATATTGATTGGAAAGTTACAACGTAGCTTACTGAGTTTTTATTACTGATTCCTCTATATATCATTGACTATCATCTATATTTTTATACCGTATAAATAGAAGGTTATACGACAGAAATGAAACCATTATTTCTCCATTTTGACAGGTAGCAAACATTTCACACTAAATATACAATTTATTTAAAATTTTGACTACAGTTGTCATGGAACATTGCTAGGCCTAGGACACTTGGTTTGTATAAACGTCTTTGAGGCTGATGGGCGGGGCAAATTAGGTGAAAAGGAGTGTACAATAACGATTATAATACCGAAATCAACACGTTAGAAAAAAATATTTTTAGATATACGTTTAATTATATTTCAAGTCACAATATACTAAGTGTACATCAGTCAGGATTTCAACCCATAGACTCCAGTACTAACCAACTAACTGATATCTATAATACTGAAAGTAGTAATTTAGACCAAGGTAAAGAATCGCGTTTTGTTTTCTGTCACATTAGTAAAGCATTTGACCGTGTATGGCATTTTCGCCTATTATATAAACTAAAAAAATATGTTAATAAAGGTAAATTATATGATTGGTTTAAAGCTTATTTATCTGACAGAAAACAAAGGGTTATCTTTGAAGGTTATAAATCTAGTACCAAACCTATTTCTCCAGGGTTTCCTCAATGATCTGTCCTTGGTCCCTTCCTCTTTCTTCTTTTTATTAATGATATTTCTAACAATGTAACCTCTCATATCAAATTCTTTGCAGATGATACCTCTCTCTATGTTATAGTAAATAATAACAATAACAATTTTAAAAACTTCAAACGATAGGAATACATTAAAAACATTATATGTCTCTTATATAAGACCTGTGTTAGAATATTCTGATAAAGTATAGGACAATTGCACCAAATCTGAATCAGATCTTCTAGAACCATTACTGGTCTCAGACGAGGTACATCTCATTACATTTTTATATTGAAACACAACTTGAAACATTACACACTCGAAGACAAAATCATCAACTAACATTAATGTATAAGATTCTTAATAATTACACTCCAACTTAATTCTACGATATCATTCAACCATTTCTAAATGTATATAATAACTATACCTTCAGAAATAACAGATTCTTTAATATATGTACAGCTTCTTCCCTTCTACAATTGTTAAATGGAATACACTTGATAGCACCGTACGAGATTCTATCTCAATTTCATCCTTTAAAAAGAAACTTAAAAAAACTATTGATACATCTGTCTCAGAAACTTTTATCAACTGTGTTCCGAGGAAACTTAACATAATTTTATGTCAGCTTAGAAATTTTAAAAGTGATCTTAACTTTGATAAGTTACAAGACCATCTGATTGATGATACTTCCTGTGTATGTGGTGCACAGAGGGAAGATTTAATACATTTTTTCTTTCAATGTCCTCTGTATTCAAATATTAGGCATCATATTACCACTATTTATAATCTATTAGGATGTTTAAATCTGCACTGTTTATCATATGGTATTAGTAATGCATCTTACCATTTAAATAATACTATTCTTATACATGCTAGATTAATTCCAAATACATATTCATGTATTATTATTATCATTATTATTATTCAGGCAAGTTTTGTCCTTTTGACAATGAGTATTACACACTATCTGGTGTGGGTGTGGGTGTGCATGTGTGTGAGAGGAAAACTAATAACACCCTATTCTGATGTAAAACAGCCATACAACACAATTAAAACTCTTTAGGGTATTCCGTGCCACTCCTAATTGATTGTATTTACTGATAACGGACAGGTGGTAACAACCCTAACGTATAATGTATTTTGTAGTGCGTTGCAGATAAACTGATTATTATTAATATTTTTAATTGACAGTTGCCACGGTGTTAGTGATGACGATTGTTGACCTGACAACGGCTGTGTTCCTGATTGTTGTAGGAATAACACTAGTTCAGGTAATAATATGCTAGATATATCGCTCAATTGAATGTACAATATGTCACTACGGGGAATATTAATATGAGTGTCTGTCTGTCCGTCTGTCTGTCTGTCTGTAACGCTTCGTTTCCGTGCAATAACTACAACAAATATCACCGATTTTCTTCAAACTTGGTCACAGTGTTAAATGCCTTAAGGGCTCGGCCAAATTCGATGACCACTTTCAGCAGACCCCATTTGGCAGAGTTATGGCCCTTTGAATAACGAAAAACGTAATTATCTGCTCGGTTTTGTTTTTGTGCAATAACTATAACAAATGTTAAACGATTTTCTTCAAACTTGGTTCGATTTTGATGAAAATTAGTAAATAGCGAATTCAACCGCATTAGTTTCGTTACCATAGCAACCACACCGAGGCGCTACTGATTGATCGAAATTTAGATATTGTTTGATTTTGATGAACATTTGTATAAAGGGATATTAGGGGACTGCGAATAAAACCGCATAAGTTTCGTTACCATAGCAACCACACGGGGGCTTCTGATTGGTCGAAATTTAGATATTGTTCGATTTTGATGAACATTGGGATCGCTAATTCAACCGCATATGTTTCGTTCCCATAGCAACAACAAAAAGGCTTCTGACTGGTGGAAATTTAGATTTTTATTTTTATTTTTATGAAAATTGGTATATAGGGGTTTTAGGGGACTGCGAATAAAACCGCATAAGTTTCGTTACCATAGCATCCACACGGAGGCTTATGATTGGTCGAAATTTAGATATTGTTCGATTTTGATGAAAATTGGAATATTGGGATATTAGGGAACTGCGAATTCAATTGCATATATTTCGTAGCCATAGCAACCATATAGCAACTACAAGAAGGCTTCCGATTGGTGGAAATTCAGATAATGTTCGATTTTGATGAAAATCGTTATAAATGGGTATAAAGGGACTGCAAATCAAACCGCATATTTTTCGTTACCATAGCAACCACATGGAGGCTTCTTATTGGTCTAAATTTAGATATTTTTCGATTTTTATGAAAATTAGTATATAGGGATATAAGGGGGACTGAGAATAAAACTGCATAAGTTCCGTTACCATATAGCAACCACACGGAGGCTTCTGATTGTTCACAATTTAGATATTGTTTGATTTCGATGAAAATTGGTATATTAGGGGACTCCGAATTCAATCGCACATACGTTCCGTTGCCATAGCAACTACACAGAGGATTCCGATTGGTTGCAATTTAGAAATTGCTCAATTTCACTCAAATTTAGTATGTACATCTTAGGTGTAATATGGCAATGAGATCCTTCTCTGATGCATCTTTGCGACTATGGGGGCAGTTTGGGGGACATCTGTAATGGTCTCCAATTACAATTAGTACTTGTTGCTGTAAATATTGTTAAGATGTTTCAACCAAATTCCTTATGCACATCCAACTCTTGCTAAGTGTGCCAACCTATGTGATTTGTGCATATTTACGGATAATCAATGAGATATAGGGCTTTTTCAAGCTATTCAATCTATACATTATTTTTCAACAGCACGATGCTCACATGTTTAAACCTAACCTCAATAATGTTAACCTACAATATGTCCTGCAAGCGGGGGATATAAATTCCATGAATTTGCTTGTCACTATTAAAAACCGAGGACAACGAGTATTTACGGATAAAAGTTCTTCAAGTATTGCTTATAGGTTTAAAAAGAATATTAAATAAATGACTTTGTCTATGTGTAGGTATTTTTCCCTCAAACTCTTGGTCAAAACGTGAGATCAATGACGGACACCACAGTCTATACTATAAACTCCCCGTCGTCTGTCATTCTAATGATTGTCCTTTAAGAAGTAAATGAATTATTTCATCGAGCCGGCTATGAGATTTACCATTGAAATCCCGTTTTATGATACTAATTAAAAAACCCAAAAAACAACAGAATGATACAAAGCTATGTACATAAGGAAAGATCATGGCTTCCTTATGAAATGTGAACATTTTCCTTAACTTCACAAAAAACCTACAGAACATAACAATAGTTGCCAGATGTATTTTGACATTGACTTTTCAGGGAGAATCATCAGTACCTGAACGTGGTCCATTTAACCCTCAAAACACCCACAATGTAAGTAAACATTAACGAGACTTAGGAACGTTCAAAACTACATGTACATAAAATTGTTAAGTGTTAAATTGAAATAAATCATCACATCTTAACAACGTGTTCACATTTAATTAAAATAGGGTTAGTAGAGACTCTATACCCTTTTTTTGCAAAACAGAAATAGAAACAATACTTTATATGCTATAAGAGTGTGAAAATGCACAGTAATTTTTCAGAGCTTTGAATTTTATTAGTTCATTAATTCATTTTTGGCATGTATAATTAAAAAAGCACTTTCTATAAAGCTGATAACCTTATACATCTAATAATGGAACAATATATCTATAGTTCAAGATGCTTGCAACAAACTCTATCAATTCATGGTTCGAAAATGCTATTAAAGATCACTACAGAATTCAAAGATATATTTCTATAGGCAAAGGAATCGATATTGCTGTAAAAATGGAAAATTCTTGGAAGAAATGGGATAAATGATTAGAAAGCATACCCAGTCCATGACAAACAAACAAAAAGATAGATTACATGTGTATTGTACATTCTACCTCTGTTAGTTCAACTGTTGATTAAAAGATAGAAATGTAACTCCCTACCACTTTACTCTTGAAAATTGAATTATTACTCTATTGAGGTAAAATAAATAGTTGCACTATTAAATGGACACACATGGACCCAACATATTTACCACCTTTACTGACTGTCGTCTTCTTACCCCCTCCCCCAATTTCTCTTTCTGTAAAGCTTTCTCTCTCTGACAATTGTCACAGAAATATGTATCAGTATTTAAGGGTGATCGTATTGTTTTTTTTAAAAAGGACCAAAACATATATATATATATATTTATATATATACTGTATTAATTCTGCCACCTGCTTTAGTGTGCTTTAATTGTTTTAACCGATGCACAAGTAAATCTTCCTTTACCTTAATTTATAACGGCACGATCCGTACTGCTTACGAGCTGTTGGTTTTATTATAGGGTATTTTTCTTTTAATCATATACTGATGAAACGTGATCAGGTTTCATTTTCCTTGATTCCAGGCCCAACCAAAGACTTTTAGGCCGCCAGTTCCTAACTTGGATTGCTCTGTCTATAAACCCGGGACTCATTGGCATTTTATAAAACCTCACACAGGAAGATGTTGTATGCAGGTTTTTCGTTATCAATGGTATGGATTTCAACCTCAAATGTGCATAAGCAAATTATATTAATGCAGATTTTCCTCGTATTTATAGTATGTAATTAGAAAAAACCCCATTATACATACTAGATAAACCTAGTTTAAAAGGCACCTTTAGTATTGTGCTAAGTTACACTAGCAATGTTTTCGTAATCTGTGTGTTGCCTGTTGTGTTTTAAATAACTGCAATCGGGGTTCGATTACCATATTAACGACAAACATTGTAATAATTAAAACTGAACACCGAGTTCTTACTTTTGTGAATTTGGGAGGTACCAAGACAATTCTTCTCAAATATTCATAGACCGTGTTGGCATTCGTACCATAACTATGTAAATATCAATAAAGTATAAGAAGTTTAAGGTCAGAAACATGCTAATGGGTATTCATTTATATCGAAATAAAATTAATTCAACAAAAATCTGAAAAACCCCAGTCACAGTTTATACTGAAAGACAGTTAACAAAGGAAAGTGATGGGATATAGATCTAGTTAAGTCATCTATTCACCCACAAAGCGTTGTACCTTTCGTGATTTTTGGGTATTAGTAGGTGTTTTTTTTAATTTTGATAGGAACGTTTCGGATGTGTGGCACGAATGGGGGACAGGATCAGTTGGTGGAGTGTCCGAAAGACTCCTTCAATTGGAATAGTCCTTACTTATCGGGGAGGTTCCAATTCCCAGACGAAGCAATGGATCTGTGTGGAGATAACGGATCTGTAGACGGTATTGTCCACTGCGATGCTATAGTAAAACACGTACAATTTTGAAATATCCCTATAACACATTGCTTAAGTAACATTCGTCATCATTACTCATATTAATGAAACAACTTGTCATTTTAATATAACATCTACGGAATCGGCTGAGTTCGTGAATTTATCGTAGTTTTGATTGTTTTTAATTTCCTGTATGACAGATATTTAATTATGTATCAGGGTTTGCTTCCCCAAATATCGCATGGGACTACGAGAACTTCACGAGACCAGAAGGCAGATCCGCGATCCTGAAAGGGACTGTGTATTCTCCCTCAGACCTGAATGTGGCCTTTTTATTCAAGAATGACGACAGTTTTCCCCTTAGGAAAATGAAGTGCAGGTTTCTCGCAAGCGACGACATCTGGCTTGTTGAATGGAAATTAGAAAACCTGACGTTAGAAAATGGCGGCTTTTACTCAATTCTAGCTGTCAACAAACAAACCAGTGCCTGGAGCAGGAAAACTCGTTTAACGGTCCTGCCCATTGGTATGAGGACAGATAAGTAATACCCAATTACAGGGAACTTATAAACACAAACTATACATTGGGTTGGTAGTAAATAGTCATCAGTGAAAAAGAAAACAAAGACATTTAAGTATCATTCAAAATTTAAACGACAAGTGAACGAATAAAATTGTGAAGTAACAGTCTTTTAACATCCATACTTGTTTTAAAACACTTCCTGGTGCCACTTTAACACACTACCGCGTGCCATGATACATGACTTTAAGCAACTCTGTTCCATTCCGCCATAAATGTTTAAACTATTTATTAACTCATTATATCAAGGATATCATGTAAATAATGGTATGATCGTATACTCTAAATCAACGATGTCTTATACTTATACTTTAAGAACTTATCTGCTGTTCTTCGTTTGTTCTCAGAATTAACTACTCAACAAACTGGTGAGTCGTCGACGAAAACAGCAACTGAGTCCCAAAACACAAGTAAGACAACCCTTTTTATCTGCAAAAGGGCATGGCTAAAGTTTATTTGGCAGGTGGGGTATTGTCTAAAGTAATAAAAAATGCCTTATTTACTTCTGAGATCTTCCTCCATAGTGATTAACCTCAATCTGTATTAGTGAGCCTCCATCGGCCTAACATAGTGTTGAAATGACATCATCTGACAGAGTAGGAATCTGCCATCTCTCTTCCATAGTAAGGCAATACTTTCTGTCTCCCATTCGTCCCTGAGTAGGGAGTTTCCGTTCGTTTTAGTGTCATACACTGCAAATCTACTTATGGGTTTACCTATATCCATAGCCCGAGGGGAAAATATTGCAACGCATATTCAAGTATTTTACCTATATGCTAGGGCGCTTAAAAGCTGTCTATGCTGTATTTATGTTCAACCTGTTTATATAATCTTCATCGTCATTTCTATTTATCAATGCGATCTGAGTTCTGTCAATTGGATGGACTGATGGTTCTCATTTAGTAATCTCACTATTTTTCAATCCTTATTTTAGTAAATGGTATAAATAGGAACGATACGGAGAGAACGCATTTGGGAATGATCCTTTTCGACAGGACAAGACATTAACGGAAGCATATAGGACGTAAACTTCTTTCAGTTCATTGGTATAAAGGTCAATCTTTAATTATTAGGATAATGGTTGTGGGGTTCTGCTTCGATGACGACGATGAATGATGATGGTGGTGGTGGGCGCTGGTTGGATAGTGATGACGAGTTATTGGATTGTGATTGCGATGATAGAGAAGGTGGGGGTGATGATTTGATAGTAATGACAGACAACTTTATTATGATGGTAAGATATGATAGAGGACGTGGGTAAGGTTTGTGTGATAGCAATGTGGGGGTTAGTGTGGTGATACACGACTATACTCAAGGATAGTGGTGCTGGGGCGAGGAGGGATGATGCTTGGTGGTAGAAATGGTGATGAATACTGCTGTAGTTATGTGTAGTTAACAATTCATCCCATCCAGGTGGCGTTTCAGCTATTGTCAGATCGATATCATAGTTTTTGATAACATGTATAGAAACAGCTCATCCGTTAAACATACAGTAGAGACAAACCTATTCCTTGGTTTGTTTGCATGCTAAAGTAATCTGATCGCATTTAAACAAAGGTGAGACTTTTAATCGTAGGTTTCATGGATTTTGTTTTTACAGCTCGCAGCTTACAATCTCCAACACCGGTTTCAACGTCTCGGAATTCAACCGAAAAGCCAGGCGGTAAGCATTTTAGAAAAAGATGGCATAGCTTATCTGAAAATAAACACTTCATTTTTTTGGGTTACTTTTCAGCTATTGTCAGATCGATATCATAGTTCTAGTTGGCATATAAAGAAACAACTTCTCCTGTAAAGCATACAGAAAAGACATGTCCTGCCTGATAAAGTTTGAAATTTCATTTACTACTTTAGGATTTCTACTTATATTCTTTTCTAATTGTTTATATATGAACCAATCTAACAATTAATTTGTTGTTTTTCCATCAAAGGTGTTGAAGACGGTTACATGTACTACACACTGATGTAAGTATAAGCGTATTTTATGATCTTGCCATTAAATGCAAATCTGTTGTTTGTTGGTGACTCACATGTCAAACCTGCACTTCACATGTTGCTAAGTAATGGATGTGGTTAGTTAAGTCCTCCAATGTCACATTCAAGCTATTGATGGTATGTGTCTCAAAATGACAAATTCATTGACATCTAGATCATTTATACCCTTCAAAACATGAAAACCTAGAATTTCATAACGAATTTCGTCGATGAACCAGAAAACGCTGAACATCCCAGAATACCTTATTTACCCTGAACTTCCTCAAAGGTGTCCATGTAAATCTTTCGTTTGCTCACATTTGACCTTATTTCAATCCATTTTGAGCCCCAGTTACTGCTTATTTACTTTTCGGTGTTGTCTTGTTTTATGTAAAATGTCCACATTCGAATAACTTCTCTGAATTGATTTTTTTATTGATATATTATTTAATACGTCTTCTTTAATTTCGTCTCAATGAGAATATTTTCTTCTGTTCATTTTCAGTCTGATTCCTGTTTTAATTGTCGTTGTCCTAAGCATGAAGGGTGAGTATATGTTTGTATGTGGATAATACTTGAATTTTTATATGTTGACTGATCGCTGCTATCGAATTCATGACCACGTTATCTTTTTGGTTTTCTCCTTTCTCCATAAAAATGTTTGTAAATATCCGTTTGTGTTTTCAATTTGCAGACATTCATAAACGCTTTCGTCACTCATATTCCGATCACATCTGTAAAATGTCGTTTAATTTAAGACATAAGTGGCAATAAAGGTGTTTCAGAATCCATCAGAAACTTTAAATCGGTCCAATCTAATTAAAATTATATCTTCACATCGCTCCCGTTTAATGATATGTCGCGTTGAAGACCTAACAACATCCCATAGAGGGTCACGTCAGAGGTCAACATGAATGCATTATCGTATTTATAACAAGCCAATCAAAACGCAACATAAATCTTTCTTTCAACCTATCAGAAAGCAGGACCTGTAGCATTTAATGCAGACACCTCATAGCCAAAAATCCACTTTTTCGTCTGGTCCAGTGATAGTTTGAATATTGCGAAGCCTGTCATTGGCTAGTTTTGGTTTCAGGTTGTTAAACTTTTTTAACGACAACATCACCAGAAGAGGAAGTCGCTCTTATTTCAAAGCAAAATCCACAAATTGTACAAACGTTGTCTTGTAGATAGACACGGCGTGGTACCATGGGCGCCGCCATTTTCGATGCTCATTCAACACCTCTCGGTCTTTTAGTATAGCAAGTGTGTTCCGAAATCATTACATCATCACTTACAGAAATGCGTAAGCTCTCATCTGATTGGTTAATGCAAAGGTCGCCTGAACATGACCCTCTACGGGATGTTGTTAGATCTTCAACGCGACATATCAGTAAACGGGAGCGATTGAAAATATAATTTTAATTAGATTGAAATCGGTCGCTACTCATACTGAATTAAGAGAGATATATTCCTATTTAATTCTGTCCTGATTTGAAATTTGGAAATAAAACTAAATTATTTTTCAGGTTATTATTACAACTTGGAACGGGGCAATAATGAAGAGGAGCGTGAAAACGATGAGAAGAGCGACGTAGAAGGTAAAACAACCAAAATAGGCATATTGTCGAGCATACAGTTCGTTTAAAAACGTATATTTTGTCATCATTGCAATTACATAGGTAATGAGGTATGGAATGCACACAGATGTTAAGATAAAATACATTTCCACCGTCTTTGTGAATCTTAATATAGTGATACAGACAGTATTATTACACATCAGGTGAATCTTACATTAGTGATAAAGTCAGTTGTATAATATACCTGGTGAAGCTCTCTGTAGTGATACAGCCAGTTTTATATATGCCTGGTGACAATTACTGCAGTGATACAGTCAATTTAATCTAATGCCTGATGAATCTTAATTTAGTGATATGGCCATTTTTATACATACCTGGTAAATCTCTCTATAGTGATACAGCCATTTTTATTTTACATAACTGGCGAATCTTACTATAGTCATTTTTCTATGACGCAGGTTAAGAGGAATGGAATGCACACAGATTCTAAGAAAAAATACATTTCCTCCGTCTTCTTTTCAGATGAATTGATTAATTCGCCAGAGGAAGGACAGGAAGATGTAAGTTATTTTCCCGTCTTTATCTCCAAAATACTATGATTTCCATATATATATAACATAATTTATGAGTTTGACATATTTAATTAATGTGGCTGAAGACATGTTAATTCAATTCAATTTAATGCGTTCGCAAATTCGCACCAACATATATTGTTTGTAAATTTATGTAGTATTTTATATACTAGATGTCGTTAGTTCCTCATTGTGTATTTACACCTGCTAGTGATGATACTTGTATCTGTCATACACATGTGTTAATTCCTCATTATTACCGTTCTCAATTGTTACAGACGACAGTTTAAATGCAGCATGTCAGGTTACCGTTGGGGTACAAGTCGAGAAGAGAGCAGTTTAACTTGGTCTCCAGCTTAACCTGTCTGTTGTGTCTTGCATGATTGGTGACTGATATGTTAACAGCATGACTGGTGCAACACGAACTACAACACCTATTCGTTTCTCCGTCAGAGCGCCTGATTTTGCTTATTTTGTTTTAATCTTTTTTGCATTCTTGGTAATTTTTTCTGTGTTTGCTTTCTCAACATTTTACCATACTGTCTCTTTTTATAAACTTTGTAGTATATTGAGTTCCTTCAGTAATTCCCGAGAAATAGAAGATAACAAATATTTACTGTCAAAATCGAAGATGGCTGCCTTTCGGCCATTTTGTTTATCTGATCACTTTTAAATTTAAACATGCACAACAAATGACCAAGGGAAATCTTCATATGAAAGATCCCTCTATTCTTTTTAGAGAAAAACCGATAAAAAGAATTGTTTAAGGACGGACCACGGACCATGGCCAAGTAGCCCAGACATTTTGTGTGATTTTTCCATTTCTGCCCAGGTTCTTGTTCCTTAAGAAATTTCATTTGAACAGCATTAATGAATTACCATACTGGGGTCTTTCTCAAATTTCAAATGTAGGTTTCCCTTGGTCTTTTGTAATGCATGCTTAATTTTGGGACTGATCAGATTAACAATATGGCCGCCTTTCTGCTATCTTGGATTTTGACAGTTAATGATTGTTTTTATATCCATTTCTCAGGAAGTACGAGGAGAACTTTTTCAAATTTTATATGTAGGTTCTCTTTGGTCCTTTATTGTGCATGTTTACTTTTGATACCGATTAGATTGACAAAATTGCCGACAAGAGACCATCTTTGATTTTGACAATGATAGTTTATCTCGATTCCGCGGAAGGTACTGGACAGATTTGTTCTTAAATATTATATATGGGTTCCCCTTGGTCCTTTATTGTGCATGTTCCCTTTGAAAGTGATCAGATAAAGAAAATGGTCGACAAGTGGCCATCTTAGATTTGGACAGTAAATGTTTGTTTTCACTATTTTTCCGAAAGTACTGGAGGGATCTTTTCTCAAATTTGATATGAAGGTTCCTCTTGGTCTTTTCTTATGCATGTTGACTTTTAAATTGGCCCCCGTCTCTAGAATATTGAATTATTTAGAAAAAAATAACACTAATAATTTTGGTCACTTGGATGACTGATTCCTAAGTTATAAACTAGGGGGAGATAAGCAAGTAGTAAAATGCAATTGAGAAATTCTTCATGGTAGCCAGTCTAGTTGACTTTCGAAACTAATCGGATCGACAAAATGGCTGACTAGCTTGGATTTTGACATTCAAGTTTTGATTTTACTACATGTATACTACTTTGTTATGTAAGTTCCCATCGGTTCTTAAATATGCATGCAGTCGGTCATCTTTGATTTTGACATTTCAAGAATATTATCATTTTGTCCAAGGAAATACTAATCAGATCTTTCTCATATTGCAATGATTTGTTCTATTTGTTCTAAGTACTGTACTAGTAAATATGTGAAATGACAAACTCACTTTGAAGGTTGTCTTTCATACACAACGGTATGAAGTTTAAATAAAAAATTACCTCAAGGTGCATTTACCGTTTACATGACTCGATTAAGCAGATAAAAGAAAGCATCGTTCTGTTATAGTTTTTTTGCCAATTTACTGAAGTCATTGTGTGAATGATTAAACATGATGATGCAGAAAGGATACTTATTCGTATTGTTATAAATTGATGCAGGTACGAGTCAATAACTTGTTATCTCTTCTGTAGTTTTATCGATACATTCATAAATCGTTTCTGTTTTCAGTTATTTTGAATGTATGGGAAATTGGCTGGAAAGAGAATGGAGATACAGAAAGTGAAAATATTCGTTAACTTTAATATCTCAATAGTTATATTCCTGTCTTTCCTGCTATTAATCTGTTCTTTATAGATGTGGGTGTTCACTATTACACAATACCTATTGTTGCAACATCATGAAGGGTGTCACAGTCCCTATTCCTTTGTAAAAAATGGCCGTTATGTTTTGTTTCGATCTGAATTGACTTATAAATGCTAAGTTTAAAACGAATTGCACTCTTTGCTTGACAAAGGAAATTGAGGTTTTCGGAAGCTCGCAAAATAAGTTTCCAATAACCTTTTGTTTTCAAAACAAACTTAGCATTTAGGTTCTATATCAAACTGACGAATGATTTATTTCAATCTTTAATTGATATTATTTCGCATATTCTTTTTAAGCGTTTTTACCATTTTGTTGTTTATGAAATATATATTTCGGATTTGATTTCCGTCCCGTCTCCAGTTTTCATTGTCCTTTTTTGATTGGGTGCGAAGGGGGTATCATGTTGTTGTTTTTTGTTGGTGTTTTCTCTTCGTTTAAAGTTGTTTTTTTTGTATCAAATTCAAATATGGATATTGACCTTGTGTATCAATAAAAAAAATCTTATTTTTATTATTTACGTACTGCTCTTCTTTTTCCACAGTAATTAAGATCAGTTTGGATATCCATCGGTTTTTTTTTTGCATCACAGATGGATCGTAGAATCACAAAGCAGTTGTGTAGTAAAGGGTAATTCATTTATGGCATACTGTATCTATTACAAAAACATAAAGTGCAACAACATGAGTGCCCTACTTTCATCTTTGCTATTTTCACTTATCCCGTGGAGACCGTGGTTGTATTCACTGACATCGGCATGAACGTGAATATCATTTTATCCTTGAACACGTATTCCACTTCATGAACGTTAAAACGTAGTTTGATTCGAACAAAATATTTCACTAGATTTGCAAACAGAACTTCGAAATATTTATAACATGCTACTTGAAGTGTAGGTCTTTCTAAGCAACTAACTTGTCTGTGATATAAGATGAGAATAATGTGATAATATCTGATATGATCTGTGATATCTTTAAAATGAGAAAATATTTGATTTGATGTGAGCATGAAGAAAGTTTTCGATGGATGTAAGGATCAGAAATTGTTAAATTGGTTGAAAGAAATACATGACGACGAATTATGTAAGGTATTGAAGATTTTTGATAATTTAAAGCTATTGAATTTTGTTTTCATATTAAATAAAATAATTAAAAGGCTTTCGAATTCTTTTTTTTTTACATACATTTAAATTGCAGATATATTTTGAGAGACTGTGAATTTCCCGAGGAGAGACGATCACAAATTCAATATCACATATATGTCTATTTAGACAAAATTATATACCATATACCGTATAGCGTATAGCGGACAGTGTTCATCTATCAATTATGCTATAATAGAACTACCAGGAACAATTTTGTTCTTACCATAGTAATATAGCCAGTTTTATTACATACCCAGTGAATCATACTACAGTGATACAACCAATTTTATTACACAGTTGGTAAATCTTACTTTAGCAATTAAGCCAGTTTAATTCAGACCAATTGAATTTATATAGTACCTGGTGTAATGAAAAACATCTCAAAAGATAGATGCATTGAAGGTTAGCCAGAAACAACAGCAATAATATGTTAAATACAGTTTTACGAAGACCTAACCCCACTCTAAAAACTATATTAAACCGCAGCGTCAGCTCACAAGGAAATGAAATGGCATATCACATCGTCAGCAACCAGGGATACAAGATTATACTTCATAAAAACACAAGGACATCACAGAGGCACTATCAATCAAGATTATAATACAATACATTTCTGCAAGTGAGAACAATTGAAACCAATTTATCTCAGTGTGAACAAGAAACAATATACCACAACTTCAAAACACAGCGACGTTATTTATCACAACGGCAAAAAACAATTATACAATATACCAAAACTTCAAAACATAGCGATATCGACACACAATTATAAAACATGACAATTTCAAAACACGGCGATGTAATATATCACAACGTTAACACAAAATTATTAGATATGCCACACACACAACAATGTCATAAATCACAACGTCAACACACAAATATAAAATATACCAATACTTCAAAACACAGCCATGTCATATATCACCACTTCAACACACAAAGGATGGGATAAACCACAGCATAAAGTCACAAGGATACACTATACCATAATGTCAACACACATGAATAACATAAACATTTATTATAGCGTCAGCACACAGTAATAATATGTACGAGCGCATTGACAAATGAGGAAATTTACCACAGGGGCAACATTATATATCACAACATCAATACAGAAGAAATCATACCTCAGCGTCAACACACAAGGGTATACTATAACTCAGCTTAAACACAAAGTCTACAATACACACCACAGTGTCAACATAAAGAAAGATGCTATAGTCCTTAATAACACATTCAAATATAATAAACCAGAGTGACAACAAACAAGTACATGATATACCACTGCGTCAGGAATGTAATATAACAAGGCGTCAGCACCCAAGGATATTTTTTACCATGGAGTCAGCACCAAAAGATATAACAAATCAGGACGTCATTACCCAAAGACATAGCCGGACGTCAGCACCAAAAGGATATAATTTACTAGTGCGTCAACACCCAAAGATATAGCAGGATGTCAGCACCCACAGAAATAATTTCCCGGGGCGTCAGCACCCAAGGATATGATAGGGTGTCAGCACCTAAGGATACAATTTACCTGGGCGTCGGAGCACAAGGATACAAGATACCAGGGTGTGAGCACCAAAGATAAAACAAGGCGTTAGAACATCAGTATTTAATATTCTTTAGTAACAATATAATTTACGATTTCATTATTTATATTTTAATCCGTATTTTGTTCTTTCATTCCGTTATCCGTGCCGCGTTTTCACTACCGAAGTCGCCGTATCACGTCATCGATACTTTCGTATTTAGATGTGTATACGTATGTGATCTATGTGACGTATTGTGTATGTTGTGTATGTCTTTTGTAAACTAGTTTGACAACTTGACCAATGACCTATGACATCTGTCGCATTGCGTGCATCTTTCCCGACCTAAAGTTTTCTTCGCTACCTCTGAACTTTCCATCTGTCCATTTCATCGATACCTTCCATACTGAACACATCGATCACATCATTTCAATCTACATTATTAACATCATGAACGGAGTCTATCCCAGGTACCACATACTAGGTAGGTCAATGTTCTGTTTATTTTATAGGCTAGAATGATACTTTTTATATATTCGGAACTAGTACAGAATATTAGAAGTGAAGTATTATTTATTCTTGAAATTATCATTTTCTGACTATTTCTAATTTACATTTATATTTACGCCGATGGGCGTGGTCAATATTTTTGTCATTTAGTAGAGCGTATGTATTTATTCGCACAAGAATTCTAGTTTATATATTTATAAATGGAGAACGTACCATTATACATTTATATATTATTGCGTAAGCCATTGTGTAAATTATCTCGTCAATTATGTATTGTCCAGTTATAGTCTGGTCGTTTGGAAAACGTGTGGTGTGGAATGTTACAATCAATGTACGTGTGTATTGTGTATTGCGTTATTCTAGTCAAATGCGTTCGATACGAAATGTATGTGTCTTATGTGTAACTCCCGGACGAATAAAATGTTGAACCTCAAATCCTGGCTTGGTTATATCTGAGAATCTCCACGTCGGCAAGGAACCCTACAAACCCCCGTAATTACAATGGCGCCCAACTTGATTGCCAGGCGGAAAAACAACGGAGAATGAGACTACATTAGCCATACTGGGATATTGGGATGACGGGAACAGGGAACATCGGTTCTAATCGAACGCGCCGCCCCCGGGATACCCTCTAGACGTATCGTTGTGAGACCCCGCGGAGTCAGATGTCCGTTAACACGTGTGTTTGTGACTGTTTGTGTTTGTGAATTCGTTTCTCTGGACATGTACATATTCTAGATGAAATGCTGCAGAAGAACGGTATGTAGTCAGAACTACGAAGTGACATTAACTTTCGGTTTGCAGTCTACTAAATTGAACATTTAACTTTATCATTTGTACTACTGGACCAATTTTGATCGGAATCATCTGAATGTGTTGTTGAAATGTGTGTTCACTGATATTTTTAGGTATTGATTTTGTGTGACCCTGACCTTGGTATTGTCAATTTATACTTCCGGGTTTGATTGTTAGATTTTTGTGATTAGAATTGTGATTTGGTACTTGCCATTAAATAGTTTACACTGCTAGGATTTATTTTGTATTTTTTTTTCATACCAGGCTTAGATACACTCAGACTTTAGATAATTCTGATGTTTTGATTTTGATTTTTTTATTTTTTTTTTGAAAGATTTTTAGACTTTCACTTTACAATTACACTTTACACTGTATACTTCGATCATCTTCTCTTCTAGTGAATTTCAATTGCTTTTCTATTCTAAATTACTTGACTGTTTACTGCGCATCTGCCCAAGCATTTGACTTGACATGTGACATTTGTTTGTTTGACTTTGTGTGAATTTATGTTTTGTGTTTGATATATATTTACTTGTGTTTTCAGCCGTTCAAAAACTGCTGCGTATGCATATTTACTTTGCGAATTTTGTATATTTACTCGTGCGCGATAAACTTTGCGTTACTTTGTTATTCGGTGCGATAAGCTGAAAACTTGACTTTGAAAGTTTTGTTAAATTTTATAACGCCACATCACTTACCGTATACTTTGTAAATTTTTATTTGCATCGATATTTGGTTGCGAACGATATTTTGTCGAAAAAAACGATATTTTGTCGCGGTACGCCGATATAATTTTTTCCGTAAATCGTCATTTTCGGATTGTTGACAAGTTATTTTAATTTGATTATACACTTGATAATTAATTAATATACTTGGATCTTGGAAGCTGACCGACTTTTGAATTTTTGGTAGTTGGCTTAGTTAAGTTTTGATTTTCGAATACGACTCGCCATGGATTTACGTTGGATTTTGGATTACGTCTTCGGATTTGGATTTTTTTTAACGCGGCACTTTAGAAACTTTAGTTTAATTAATTTTGGATCTCGATACTTCTGACATTTTGTTTCGTAATTTAGAAATCGACGATAACTCAACTTGAGGATTTTTGCCACAACGCCAGAATGTATTGGTAAAAAATAGTTTAATAATCCAGTTACATACGTGGATCTTGTATTATTTTTTTACCTCGATTTATTGATTTCGTTATGCATCGTGCACCATGCCACTTACGGGTGATGAAGCGGCGGAGGTTGAAGCCCTACTCCAAGCCTCTAAGGAAATGAAAGTTGTACCGAAGGCGAAGGATGCCACCGAATTGAAACAGTGGGTTTTGACCTACGCGTCCCAACAGGATACCGGCGAGGAGAAACCGGAGGAAAAGCTAGACACCAGTACTGCAAAGGCCTTAGGTTTCTTAGCGACATACATGAAACAGAGCTCGACCCGGCCTAGACTGTCTACATTTTCTGGCGATCCACCCACTTCGTAGGGTGACGTTACATATGTCCAGTGGAAATACGAGGTCAAATGCCACATGCTGGAGGAAACCCATTCAAAGCAAAGTATTTGCGAGGCAGTACGGACTTCATTGAAAGGCGAGCCGAAAAGCGTCCTCATGCGACTCGGACCCATGCCGAACTATACAGTATACTGGAGAAAATGGAGTCGGTATATGACCGCAATGAATCGGACGAGAAGCTATTTGGCGCGTTCTACGGTGCAAAACAGAAGGAGTGTGAGTCCGTTACATCGGGGGGAATGCGCTTGGAGGATATCTTGTCTAAGGCGACAGAAAGAGGAGGTTGCACACCTATCAAAGCGGTTGCAATGTTACGATCGGTATTTTATGAAGGATTATTGCCAGCACTTAAGGACGTCAGCGGCCATAAGTTTGACTCCATTAAGGATTTTGACCAACTTAGACAGGCACTAAGACGAATTTAATTCAGCCGTGGATTGGAACCTGAGGAATCTACAAAAAGGGAGACCGCCAATGTAAAGATGATGTCAGAAGCTAGTGGAAGTTCAGATATTGAGGAACTCAAGCAGATGATGAAGCAAATGTCCACTAGATTTGATAAACTGGAGGAAGCTAAGAATAAAGGTGGCAACCATAAAAATGGACGGAGAAATGGTGGAAATAGTGGAAACAATAAAAACAATGGTGGAGCGAATTGTGGAAACGGAAACAATGGTGGACATTATGGTGGAAACTATGGTGGAAACAACGGTGGAACATATGGTAATGGTCGAAACGGGGAATATCGGGGAAATAACCGATCGGGGAATGGATAGTGATATAGGAACCCCCAACAACAACAACAACCCTACAACAGTCAACAATACAGGGATCCGACACAACAGAATTACCAGGATGAACCGCAAAGTTATTGATGTGGACAGTACGGTCATTTACAACTGGGATGCCGTGTACGGATCGACCATCTTAGGGGGTCATTTAAACTGAACAAGACCTGTGGACAGAGGTTACCCACAGGTCGTGACCCACAGCAACCTCGTAATATTGGGATGGAATTATTGGAGACAGGTGAGGGACCACCTGGTCTGTCAGGGGAGTGCAACATTGAGGATATTTTTATTTAGGGACTCCAGGCTAAGGCATTGTTGGATACTGGGGCTACGGTATCAAGCGTTGGAGAAACCTTCTACCGTAAACACCTCGATCATATACCATTACACCCACTTAAGGATGGAGCACTTAAGATTGAAGTTGCTGGTGGAGATCTGCTACCCTACTTGGGATATATAGAGGTTAATGTCATAGTTGACAGGATAAAGAGGGAAGGAGACGATGGAAACTGTCTACTACTCGTCATACAAGATTATAATTTTAATCGACGAGTACCTGTACTTCTAGGAACCAACATACTTGCCCACTTCATGCAGCGATGTAAAGAGTGGTTTGGTCCAAGATATCTACAGGAGGCACCCTTTACTACACCGTGGTACATGTCTTTCCGCTGTATCTCGCTACAGGAAAAACAGCTTCAACACAACAGCAACTGTCTAGCGTTACTACGTAGTTCGGAACGTGGGAATATCACAATACCGCCTAATCGACAAGTCACTATTTGCTGCAAGGTTGCTAAGGAACTGCCTTACCCCGATGTATGCGCACTTATTCATGCTACGCCCGGTTCAGTCTTAACGGAGGACTTAGACATTTCACCGGCTGTATTTACGTACAAGTATCAACATAACGGGATGGTCAACGTCAACGTAGCGAACGTCACCACTCGAACTGTTGTCGTACCGCCACGCGAATTGGTTTGTGAGATACAACCAGTCGCTGTTGCGAACAACCTTAATCCTAAGGAAATGGACATAGACAATTCAATTGAGTCGAACGTATTGGATCAAGCGACATTTTCGCCAGTCTTGGATGACATATACCTATTTAGAGGAAAAGAGGTATTGGGGAGATACCTGGATGTATTTTCCAAGGGAGAACTTGACTTAGGACACAATCGGGACATCAAACACCGAATAGAACTTGATAAGGACCGTCCTTTCAAACAACGCCATCGCTGAGTGCCCCCAGGAATGGTACAGGAAGTCCGCGACCACCTGCAACAGCTTTTGGCATGTGGAGTTAAACGGAAATTATACTCACCTTGGGCATCCGGTGTGGTATTAGCCAGGAAGAAAGATGGTAAATTAAGGATGTGCATCGATTATCGACAGCTAAATCAGAGGACGATCAAGGACTCATACGCTCTTCCCAGGATTGAAAATTTTTTAGACTCACTCTCTGGAGCCAAGTCCTTCTCTTTACTTGACATGAAGAGCGGATACCATCAAGTTGATGTCGAGAAACAACACAAAGAGAGAACAGTTTTTACAGTTGGCCCCCTCGGGTTCTACGAGTACAACCTATTGCCTTTCGGTCTTGCGAATGCCCCTGCTACTTACCAGCGCCTTATGGAACAGTGCATCGGTGAGCTCCATATGGTGGACTGCTTCATATACTTGGATGACGTAATTATATTCTCCAATACGTTTGAGCAGCATCTGGAGAAACTCGACCGAGTGCTGGACAGATTCGGGCAGCATGGAATAAAATTGTCGCCAAAGAAATGTAACTTCTTTCAGCGAAGGGTCAAGTATCTGGGCTTTGTCGTGAGTGAGGATGGAATCGAGGCTGATCCGGAGAAGGTC